TGCAATATGACAATGCACACATGAGTAGACTGCAAGAACTGCACAGCTGGCTTCCCCCCTCCCCCCAGCTTGGAATGCTCTTAATTCTACCCACTAGCCAAAAGGAACCAATCCTAGCTGGGTTGCCAAAATTCAAACTGAGTTGTCCTCCTAGTCAAACCCAGCCTGCAAGACTATTACTTATCCAGCTCTTGTTCTGGGTTCTAGCACCATTCAGATGACCTCCAGTGTGGGGGAAAAGGTTGCCAATTCTGAGTTGGGAAATACCTGGAGATTTTTTGGGGGGAGGGGTGAAACCTGGGGAAGGGCAGGACCTCAGTGCGGTGTGATCCCATACAGTCCACCGTTTCCAGCCACCACCTGGAAACTAGGGTTGCTTGCCTCCAGGTGGGGCCTGGGGAACTCCCGCTTTTACAACTGATCTCCAGCTGACAGAGATCAGCTCCCCTGGAGAAAATGGCTGCTTTGAAGGATGGACTCTATGGCACTGTACCATGCTGAGGCCCCTCCACAAACCCCGCCCTCTCCCGGATCCACCCCCACAGGTATTTTCCAATCCAGACGTGGCAATGCTACTGGCAACCCTAGCTGAGAAGCCATTTCTTCCTACTGCACCAATAATCTCCCCCCCCCCCCCAGCCGGGGCTAGCCTCCATTCCCTTTGAGGTGTTCCCAGGCAGTACACCAGCCATGCTTTGCCGTGTGTGAATGTCAAGTGCCATCCACCACCAAAGCTTAACTTAGGAAGATCATGAGAGGGAGGGCAGGAAGGGATGAATCAGTGCTTGGTTCTCATGTAGGGATCCCAAGTCCCCCCGGGGGGCGGGGAAATCCCCGCCCCAGAGGCCCGTTCCCCGGCGCCGCCGGATCGGGCCCCATGGTTTTCCCTTGTATGGCCGTGGCCCCGCTCCCAGCGTGCCTGGCGTTCTCCCGTCACTTCCGGGTGATGTGCGTGTGGCACGCACGCACGCGCACAAGACACCGGCCGAGAGCCCTCCGCTCCCAGCGAAGATACACTTGGCAACCCTATTCTCAAGGTCCTTTCTTACACGCCAAGGGAAATGACGGTCGCCACTGTGGGGTCAGGAAGCAATTTTTCTCCGGGCCACTTTGGCCCGGGATCCTGAAGAGTTTTTTATCTTCTGGGCATGGAACAGGGGTCACTGGGAGGGTGTGGGGTGGAGGTATTTGTGAATTTCCTGCATTGTGCAGGGGGTTGGACTAGATGACCCTGGAGGTCCCTTCCAATCAGTGTTCCCTCTAAGCTGAGTTAGTGTGAGCTAGCTCATAGTTTTTTAACCTCTGGCTTACACATTTTTGTCGAGAAAGATGGCTCCAGAGCAGACTGATTTATGCAGTAGCCAAATCGCTCGCTCACAGCTTTAATGCCAGTGGCTCACAAAGTAGAATTTTTGCTCGCAAGACTCCACAGCTTAGACTGGGAGCCTTGCTTCCGACTCTATGATTCTAAGACGCTGGACATCTCTGCTTGTAAAGCTTCCTAGAGGAAACAGCCATTCGCAATCACTGGGTCTCGCAGCCATACTGGCGTACAAAACGTTAAAAGAGAGAAATATTTTTACAACTCCTGCCGAAGGGCACGGTGGCGGGATTTGGAGGGGCGAAGGAACAGAGTATGGGGAACGAGGCCTCAAGACATGAGCTGGTACGGTCTCCTCGGTTCTCCTCCATTCCCTTATCGATCTAGTCGCGGGTAAGGGCACCTCCTGCCATCCCCCCCCCCCAATTTAAAGGACATATTCTCAGCTTCAAGCTGAGCTGTCTGGTTTCCATGGTGACAGAGGTCTGAGGCCTACAGCTCTCTCTCCACTTTCCCATTACAGTCTTGCATACACACACACTTATCCCCACACACACACACACACACACCATCTCTATTGCCTGTCAGGATGCCAAGAAAACCCCGAACTGTGCAGACGGGAAACAGCCACAATGGGCAATCTCTCATCCTGCCAGCGCGAGGCTTCATTCTCTCCTGGCCTCTTTGTTTCCCCCGAATGGTCCCGATCCTTTCCAAAGCGCTTATGCAGGGTGTGGTTGACTGGGCTTGAGTTGCAGTGGCGGGGCAGGTGAGGACCCTAAAACTCCCGGTCCTGACTGGGGTTGCCAACTCCAGTTTGGGGAACACCTGGAGATTTGGGGGTGGAGTCTGGAGTGGCCAAGGTTTGGGGAGGGGAGGGACCTCAGCAGGATATAATGCCACAGAACCTCAGCAGGGCATAATGCCACAGAACCCGCCCTCCAAAGCAGCTGCTTTCTCCAGGGGAACTGATCTCTGCTGTCTGGAGATCAGTTGTAATTCGGGGATCTCTCCGGCCTCCACCTGAAGGATGGCAACCGCACGGAGGACATACAAGCCAAATTTAGTACATTTCCGTCTTGCCTTGCTACCCAGTTCTGTCAGCTAGTAAGAAGTTCTCCCTGTAATAACCACATTAAAATAACCACGTCGAACCTGTCTCCAACTATAATCCTAATGAAGTGGTGTCAAGTCACAACAACCAACTCATAGCCACCCCTCATGGAGTTTTCAAGGCAAGAGACATTCAGAGGTGGGTTGTCATTGCCGACCTCTGTACTTCCATCCAAGGGCCAGTTTGGTGTAGTGGTTAAGTGCGCAGACTCTAATCTGGGAGAACCGGGTTTGATTCCCCACAGTTGTAATTCGGGAATATCTCTGGGTTCCACCTGAAGGACGGCAACCCTACGGGGGATATAGAAGCCAAATTTAGTACATTTCTGTCTTGCCTTGCTACCCAGTTCTGTCAGCTAGTAAGAAGTTCTCCCTGTAAAAAACACATTTAAATAACCATGTCAAACTATATAGTCTCCAACTATAATGCTAATGAAGTGGTGTCAAGTCACAACCAACTCATAGCCACCCCTCATGGAGCAGGACTGACCCTGTTTAGCTTACATAATGGAAAATATCTCTCTCTCTCTCTCTCTCTCTCACACACACACACACAGAGTGCACTAAACTCTGGGAAGAAAAATTTCATTCATTTGCTCCTGTAAAGACCAACGTGAAACCATGTCGGCTTGAAGAGGGAGGCCATGCCACAAGTGGGGGTGCCACAGAATGGGCCTTGTGTTTGGTAAAAACCAGTCCTGCTTCAGGATACCCTGAGCAAGGCCTCACTCAGTAATCTGCAGTTTGGATCAGAATTGGGCTCACGCACATTTGGGAATTAAGCTCCCTGTGGAGAAACCCCAGGACATGTCTACCAAAAATCCAGTTGGATTTGTAACGTGTGAATTGGCCCAGAGCCTAATCTCCCTCACAGGGCTTATTTATGTATTTAATTTATATCCCACACCTTCTCCCCACAGGGGACTTGGGGCGGCTTACGTGTGTAAGAGCTATCAAGTTTCCAACGGACTTATGGAGACCCCAGCAAGGGGCTTTCAAGGCAAGGGAGAAGCAGAGGTGATCTGCCATTGCCTTCCTCTGCAGAGTCTTCCTTGGTGGTCTCCCTTCCAAGTACTGACCCTACTTAGCTTCCAAAATGCAATGAGATCAGGCTATACCATGCCGCCTTCCTTCCATTGGGGCGGCTTGCAATATTTTAAATACAGTAGATACAGATACCATGCAAATGAATAAATGCAATAAACAAAGCAATCAAAGCAATCAAAACATCAACTCAACAGCAAATTAGTCGGGTTGCTGTGAGTATAAAATGAGGAAAGGAGAACAATGGCCCCGGTCACACGGGGGAAATTGACGCGGCTAAAGTGCGGCTTTTTAGAGCCGCACCAAAAGAGACATGCAGCGGCGGGATCAGACAGATTCCCTGAGCCGCCGCGCAGTTGCTCCCTGGTACGATGAGATGCCCGGGGGGGGGGGAGCCACGGAAGGGAGAGCGAGGTAGCCGGCTGCGCATGTGTGTGCATGCACAGTTTGGCCGGGAGCCTCGAATGCTCCTGAAGATGGGCGCGCCGGTGATCCCACGGCTGCGCTTGCTGCGGCGTTTCAGGTAGGTGCTACTATTTCCTAGGGGTTTTTTAAACACACGTTTTCGGCCTGAAGGGACGAGTCGGGGATGGGTGCGCGCCGCTTCCCAGATGTTGCGGTGTGGTCACGCCTGTTTGCTGCGCCCCCGATCTGTCCCTCTTCCGCGCCAAACCCCCTTGTGTGACTGGGGCCTCTGTGTACTATTCTGTGTTCCATGGGGAAAACAACGGATAGAAACTGACTTGATAGGCTGGAGGAAGGGGTGTCGTTTGCTCTTAACCACCGATACACACAGCTATTCATGGTGTCATGAGCTTACCCCTTGTGCAGCCTGGTACCTTTCCATATCTAAGCCACGAGATCACAACTGCTTTTCAGGGCTAGCTATTGGGAGCATGTGACACCAATGCTACAGCGTTACACTGCTGACTAATCCACTTTCAAGCCCAATTCAAGATGCAAGTTTTGACCTTAATGTCCTACATGGCTTGGGACTGGTGGTATCTGAAGGACCATCTCCTCCCCTATGTTCCTGCCTGGGAATTAAGGTCACAGGGAGAGGTTCTCCTGACTGTCCCATCAATCAAAGAAGCTCATTTGGTGGATACATGAAACAGGGCCTTTTCAGTGACGGCCCCACGATTATGGAACAGCTTCCCCAGGAAAGGGCTCCTGGCCACCTCACTTTCGATATTTAGGAGGTAACTGGTGATGGTTTTATTTAGGATTGTGTTTGATTTTAAATGTCAGTTTTGTGTGTTTTTCTGTACTCTATGGTATGCGTTATATTTATATTGTAAGCTGTCTTGAGCTCCCTAATGAAGAAAGGCAGATAATAAACATTTTTTAACAACAACAACAACAATAATAATAAATAACAACTGTCTTGGAGATCCTTTATGACATCACCAAAGGGTTCTTTTCCTAAGCGTTCCATCTCCAGGGAATTCCTGGCGCCTTTCTAGCCATGTGGATGATACCTGCAGCATACCCCATGCTTCTTTGGCTGGCCTTCTCCCAGGCGGGCGCCTGCTTATACTGCTTCTCCACCGAGGATAAGCGCACTCGGGTTTGCCAGTATTTTCTGGGCTACGCTAATGAGCAGAACAAGGCCTGCTTGGCAGCTCTGTCGGCCGCCTTTCAGCCATACGTCAAAATCCAGGTGGGTAAGTGAAGTCTAGCTCAGAGCTGCGCCAAAAGAGTCCTACCTCGGGACAAGCAGAGTAGATGGCCCTGGCAAGCCTCTGATTCATAAAGCTCATGGCAGGCGGTCACTGAGGTACCCCTGATGTCAGTAAGCCTAGCACAGAGAGTCAGTTTGGTGTAGTGGTTAAGAGCGCGGACTCTAATCTTGAGAACCGGGTTTGATTCCCCCACTCCTCCACATGACACCAGCTGGGTGACCTTGGGTCAGTCACAGTTCTCTCAGAGCTGTTCTCTCAAGAGCAGTTCTCTCAGAGGTCTCTCAGCCCC